AAAAAAAAAAAAAAAAAAAAAAAAAAAAAAAAAAAAAAAAAAAAAAAAAAAAAAAAAAAAAAAAAAAAAAAAAAAAAAAAAAAAATAGAAGTAAAAAAAGGACAATACTTGAGACTGAGAATGTGGATTGAGGGAAATTCTCTCAGATGAAAAGCTTGAGGAGGTTCTGCATCTCAAAAAAGCCTTCGCTCCAAATTGTTGATTAAGGAGCTCTCATGGAAACGAGATGATAACTGAAAAAATTTTTTTCATGAAATTTTCGCCTGTATTGCCTACTTCTACATACCTAAACAATAAATTATACCAATTAGGAAATAGCTTTAAAAAACTTGAATCCCATGAAAAAGTTGACAAAGTTGCTGACTCAGCTTTGAAAAACTCACCTCTGCATACGGAAAAAATTAGTCCCTAAAAAAAAAAAAACAAAAAAACGATTTCATCATTCCAAATTCTCAGTCCCACCTCTCTAAAAATAAATAAAAATAAACTCACCGCATCAAACGACCAAAAATAACCAAAGTCTCCTCCCCCGGCCGCTCCTTTTTTCCCTTGCAGGCAAATCTTGAAAAAGCACGAGCCGGTCTACCAAGCGCTGTGGGCCGACCCGGGCGACTTTGACGAGGTCCTGATAAGCCCAGTGATGATCCAGGACCACATGCCGGACAACATGCTCAAGGCCCTGAACAAGGTAAGCGAGCGCCTACCCGCGACCGAGCGCTTTGTTACCCCGACGACAACGGCCAAGAGGCCCGGGGTCTACACGAGCCTCCAAGGGGCTCGCGGGTCCACCACCATCACCTCCTCCTCCTCCTCCTCCTCGATCTCCGGCACCGTCGTGGTCGAGCACGATTGCGCCGCCACTTTACACAACGGCCGTGCAATCGTGGCCGAGGACGAGGAAGGCCTGCTCAAAGGTGGACTCGCGAGGTTCGACATTCACGACACGGACTTGATTGTCGTCGATGTCGAGGTGCACCACCATCAGAGGAGCGAGATGCAGCCCGGATCGTGATCATGTATATATAAGGGCTCGTCAATGGTGCCGGGCGTCACTCGGGTTGCAGTTTCAAAACAATCGGCGCGTCGTTGTTACCCGCGTATCTTTTTTTTTTTTTTTTTTTTTTTCTAGTTGGAACAATAGAATTTTCATTTTTTATTTTATTTCGTGACTTTTTTCATCACTGTAGTTACCGCTTAGTGAATACACCTCGTTACTCGCTGTTTAATATTTTACACGCAATACACGTCATTTACGGTATAGTCGTGTTGAAAAATCATTACGCTTCACACGTCATTTATTTCATGCCTTGCTTCCTCCTTGGGGGAAAAAAGCTTTGTGATAGCTCGAAGAAAGAATTTTTTTTTTTTTTTTTTTTCTTCTTCATTTGAAGTAAAGTTTAATAAATTATGTGTCTCTCTGGTACGCGGATGAATGTCATCGTTAGTCGTCTTGAGATTCTGTCGACCGGTTTTGTTCCAACAATCTTTTTTAATTTTTTTTTTATTTTTATTGTCATTACGGAATATTTTGACAATTTATTTTTCATTTTAACTAAAAAAAATGTTTTAAACGTAAGTACGAGTGAGCTACGTGACAATGATTTGATACCGTGTTTCGTAGCATCATAAAGAATCAGCATTCAATGCAATTACAAAGACATACGGTTTTATGGCTGCATTAGATTAACAGCACAATTTATTGAATAATTTACCCCAATGTTTATCGAAACATTAAGATTGTAAACACATTATTGAATGGATTTCGAATGAATACAAGACACTTTTAGTGGCTCGCAAGATAATTCATGTATGGTTCAGAGAGAAAAAAATAAATCAGCTTCTTTGGATCATTTTCTTCCGAGCGACAAAAAACGTTATATTTGTTTTGCAAGTACAATAATTTATAATCGTGATTTGAGTCTTTTTATATGTTGTGTAGGATTTAGAAATAAATCATTTCCCGATGATTATTACCTACCTGTGTAAGGAGTGTTATTTATTGGTATTTTTAGAATCCATATGAATGCCACACCATTTGAGTTTTGTATTTATATAAAGAGAGAAAATGTTTCGTAAAATTTTATTTTTTNGTTTTTTTATTTTAGTAAAATTTTCTCCGCATTCTTGTGTCGATTAAAATTGTATATTTTTCCTAAGAAAATTATGTAGTGGTTTTAACATCAATGAAGCTTTACGTATGAATTTTTAATAAGATTTATTTTACCTAATAATTGTCTAACATTTTTCTGATGTTTTGGTCTATGGAAATTTTTTATAGCGATTAAATTATCGTTTAATGGTTTTACTTTATTGCCATTCATTAAATGCCCTAAGTAAACTATCGTTTTTTTGCAAATGCGCATTTTTATTTATTTATTTATTTTACCAGCCAAGAGTGGAATCAGTGTGGTTAAAGCACAACAAATATTGAAATCACACAGGAATCTGACAATCGTTGCATAAATATATTGTAAAAATATTAAATAATAACTAGTCGGTAATATATGAGAAAATTAATTAATGATTTGGTTGTTGAAGAGTCCGGCAAATATAATTACCAATATACCGTGTTATCGAGCATCAATTGACGATTTTATAAATGTACACCCAATGATATCATGTTTGTGTTTTGTATCGTTCAATCGCATCTTCATCTCGCACTTTAGTATTATTTGGATTTATACCTATAAGCTAAATGGTGAATACTATTGTAGACAATATACGTGACTTATTTGTAAAAACAGTCTTTTTATTTATTTTGGTTCCTTTAATCCTTCGTTGCTCCCGTCAAATCAAATTATTTTTTTATATTTTTAGTTTTATTTTTTATTTAAATTATGTGTTTTTTTTTTAGTCACTGTTTATATTTTGGTATAACGTATCGAGGTAGATGTTTGACCAATAGAAAACCTAGGTATTGTTTTTTGAAGTTTTGCCATTTATTTTTGTATCAATACGTATTTTTAGCGCACTTTTCACTTTTCATTACCGTTCGAATGGATTTTCATTGAAAAATCTTTGTAGCACGAATGAAAAATTTTTTCCCCGAAACTTATTTCCTCACCGCAACAAAAATGTATTATTTCCACAAAGTACATAGCCATAAGTATCTTTTCGTTTTCTTGATGGTAGCGAAAAAAAAAAAAAACAAAAAAAAACCAATCTTATTGTTCTTCCAATAAACAACATTTTCCAAGATTTTAATTGCAATAAATAGTTGGAATACCACCTTCGAAGTACAAAACCCACACAAAGCCAATGCGCACATTCTAAATAATTGAAGTATAAAAAAACAGCCAATCTCTAAGACCCAAGCCTATGTTAGAGTGTGTGTCGGATGGACCACAGGTGTTGGAGCACAGGGAGATATGCGCGGAGCTGTCCGCAACTGCACCAGTAGCGACGACAATTGTTCCGACGACAACGACGACGACGACGACGACGACAACAGTGACGCTCGACGTCGCGGCGTTGGAAAGGACAACGACGACGACGAACAACAACCGCGTAACCGCGACGGTGCAACCGCAGTCGCCTACAATGGACTCCGGCACAAGGTACTGGTAAACTACCGCTTGAGTTCAGAGTTTGAGCTGTCAACCACCACCGACTCATTTTTGCCATCCACATAAATATGCTGGTCGAGGGAACATTGTCGATACATAGGTACATATAAGGAAATATCTCCTTTTTGTCCCCTATTTTCATAAAAAAATTTTTTGGGAGACAAAAACGGGATGCTATTCGTGGATTTCCTCATATTCACACGTCTGGATAAATTTTGCATGATAAGTACGTTCACGATGTTATACGCTCTGGAAACGTTTTCGAGCTCGAATGGTGTTAATCAGAGGTAAATACGTCAGGAGCCCTGATATTTGTTTGCCTCTTTCGCTGATTGATCATTCAAATATTTTATGTTGACGTTTTATGATCGCGCGGTTGTAGTGAATTACGATTGATTTTTTATACCAAAAAAATAAAAAAACGAATTTCAATATTTTTCTAGTGCAAGAGTACGTGTACGAAACGATTTCTCAAAGTGAAAAAATACAATCTTTCTTCGAGAGAGTGTTCGATTGGAACTATTTGGTATTTTTTGGGAAAGAAATTGTAAATATCGGCTTCGAAGCAATGTTCCCCCGACGCGTTCGGTACATCAAAGAACCAAGTGAAAACAAAAATCATCCAAAAACACCAGCATCGATATTTTTAGCCTTCAAAGTCGACTAAATCGAGGCTCCTAAAATCAATTACTAAAAACTCCCACCGTCCACGTATTCGTATCATTTTCATCTGTAAACACCGTCATTTTTACACGGCACATCATACAAATCATACTTTTTTAAAAAATTTTTACTCTGTATTAATGGCACATTTTTATTCACACCATGTAAAAGTAAGATATTTTTTGCATATTGTTATATTTCGCATCTGCATGTGCATTTTAGATTAGATGAATGTACGAGTTTATTGTTTACATAAGTAAAATAAAATATGTAATATAAAAAAAATAATGTAAATAAAATAGAAATTTAATACTTATTGCGATGCGTATTTATGTGATTTTTAAATATATTTTTGTTGTTTTTTTGGTGATCAAGTTTTTATTTGTACATTTCAAAAATACATCTTCGAATTGTGTCTCTTTCATTCGTCATCCGATTAAACGTTGCATTTTCAATTTGTCTCGCATCAAGTATGTGTTGATTGACAATAAAAATTCTAAAATAGTACATAAAATTTAAATAAAAAGTATAAATAATAAAAAGGTATNTATATATACTCGTTTACAATAAAGCAAAAAACAAATACACTAGGTTAGTAGGTATTTATTTTAAAAAAAATAATAATAAAAAGGATGAGTAAGAATCCAGGAATGGGTATACGTTGGAATCTTAACACATAGCTATGTATAATAACCCAATACTGCAACCTTTGTATTTAAATACATCGGTTGGGTCCTCAGACCTTGGGAACAATTCATCACCACTGATTTGTGCATTGCAAGCTGAACTGAGGGAGAGATGTAACAACTCCACAAACTACCTCAAAAGGAAAAACAGTTGTAAAAAAATTTATGAAATGTATCTCCCCACTCAGAAATGGGTAGTAGGATTTTTTTTCGAGCTAATCACAAGTTCGAAGTCGAAAATAAAAAATACCACACTTGACAGTAAATTTCGTTCTATTTTTGGCTGAAAATTAGAAAATACATATTCCACGGCCAATACGTCTTCCAGTGGGTACTTTGAGTCGTTCATCACAATGCCGAGATTGGAATTAAATGATTTAGATCTCCACTGCGTTTTTCTATTAAAATCATGTAAGTAATATTGTTTTAAAAAAAAATGTTCTTTGCAACATACACTTAACAACCCAATTCTTTGAATCAAAGAAAATTTCCTTATCCTCATTTTGTTCAATATTTTCTTTTAATTGAATCAAATTTAGTCGATCTAAAAAAGCATTTCGTACAACTAAATGAGAAATTTGTCATTAAAAACAGAAAAATTTAATTCAATAAAACATTGTTTTTATCAAACTTATTTTTTTACTCATGAGAAAATATTTAACGGAATGAGGGTAAAGAAATTTTCTTTGATTCAAAGAATTGGGTTGCTCAGTGATATTTATTATTTTTTTCTCTCAGTGAAGTCCTTTCAATACACTAAACGCACCGATCAGTAGAAAAGACCAAATATGGTCAGACACGGTAGCAAAAAAATCCAGGGAAGCCCCCCACATCATACCGTCACGCGTGCATAGTCTTAACCAGAAAAAAAAAAAACAACAACAACCAATCGCGCCTCAGGTCGTAACAACCCTTGGCCCGGTGAAGCCGCAGCGCCTGCAAGCCTCGGGGCGCGTCTCCTCGGCCTCGGACTGCTGCCGCGGCTCCGCGTCCGCCACGGCCCTCCCAGCTGCCATCAACGGCCCCAACTGCGACCTCGAGCACGAGATGCGGGCCCTACTCGCGTCCTCCAGCCCAGCACGACCTCTAGCGGCCGCCCGGCGACCCATGGGCCTGGGCCGCATCCAATCGGCCAGCGAGGGCCCCACCCCGGCGAAACACCGGCTCATCCTCGAGACGAGCTTCACGAGCCTGCAGAGCCCCATGACCGACAATTACCCGTACATCGGCCGGGAGATGAGCGTCGACTCGCGGGGACTGCCCTGGGAGTACGTCAGCCTCGCCAGCGAGGTTCTAGGCTCGCCCGTTGGCCCCGCCGCTGACATACTCAAAGCGTAAGAGACGCGACGCACACGGATTTGGGCATCAAGTTTTTTTTTTTTTTTTTTTTTCATCCAACGCGTTGCAACGGAAATACAATGACTGTTAAGGGGGTAAAGGGTCCTTGGTCAAATGCTTTGTTTTTTGTTTTTCCTCAAACTCTCCGTGCGCTTTATTTCGTGTCAAAACAAAGTTTTTCCAGTACTCGTATTTCCGGGATATCATTTTGCTCCCAAGCATTGAAAAGTTCATTACTTTGTTTTGCCCAAGTTCGTGAACGTGTGTACTTGGGGGGGGGGGGGGGGTTTTTTTTTTTTTTTTTTTTTTTTTTTTTTTTTTATTAATACTTGTGAAAAGGGAGTGTGTGCATGTACTATGTACTTGGTGAGAAACGAATTTCGAAACAACTAATTTTTTANGGGGGGGGATTTTTTGTTTTTTGTTTTTGACGCCAAGAGTACAGGGATTTCACTGTGGCCGATGGCTCGTAATTAATGGCGCGAGTTTTTCCGGCAGTTCGTGTAATTGTGATGGATGATTCAGGTGTATTCGCAATACCTATTGTGTCGATGTACATAAATATAAACGTAACAGTATATTAGTTTCGAAAGTTTATATCATTCAGTGTCGCGTAAATTTTGTAGAGCTTCATTAATTTTTTCCCTTTATTCCACATCGATCGGGCAAAAATGTTTAAAATATGTACAGTTGAACATACTTATGTCATGGCTTACGGCTATAGAACCACTTTTTTTATGCTTGACACGTAAGCTGATGCCACCTCTTATCGCTATACGTTTTTTTTCTTACCGCAGTATTTTTTGTCGCTTTGATTTGTCGTACAACTGCTTATATGTTGATTTCCATATCACATTTTTTCAATTGGCACTCGATATCATACAAGTCGTTCATCCGATGTACATACATAGTCATTCATCTCCAAAAAATATTTCAATTCAAAGCACGTGGAAAAATATCCCGACGACACACAGGAGCATTTGATGTACACGTTTTGCGAAATCTTACGATTCACTGCTGCATGGGAAACGAAAAAAAATATCGTTAACGAGACCGACTCGGTTATCGCGTGTATAATTAGTACAATCGAAATTCATTTGCCTCCCATATCCCTTTCACGTGCACTCCTACAACAAAGTAGGTCAAGCATGTGTATAACATACCGGGATTTGGTACGCGCGTTTCGATGTGCATATAAAAGTCCTCTCGAATGCATCGCCGAATATCGACGCCGAATAACGTACGCAATTCCGTGTACACAAAAGTGCTCTTGTGAAAATTGAACGGAATATTTTTTTTCTTTCACACTACTCTTCATCATTTCCTTTATTTTATTCATCAATCAAACAATATCCTCGAGGGGCAAGTTCTCTATCGCGTCACTGTAACTCCAAGTGTGTATAATATTCGAAAGGACACGTTAGAAGCGTAAAGTTAATATTTTTGTTTTATGACAATGCGAAGCACATTTTAAGAACAATAATATCATTTAAACTATTTTCAAATGGAGAGCAAAAACAAGTCGAAAAGGATGCCACAGCTAACACCTTGATTAATATGCATTAGTTGATTCCAAATTATTTGGCTCATTGGAGCTGGTTACACAGTAAATTAATTTCTTTGTTTCTGTAATACTCGTGAACGGAATCATAGTACCGATAAATTTTGTAAACTTGTTAAAATAGAAATAACACATCGCTTTGATTTACAGTGACACGTTGTACTCGCGTTTACTCATCCGAGGGACTGCGTGCACTTGAAAGTCTCGACAATCAGTCCAAAATCATTTCGAGCCTTTTGCAGTCTTTTTTAATCTTCCAGTGCACTTTCAAAGCTTTTTGTCAAATTTTAGAGACTATCAAAGGCTTCGTGTGACTTCAAATCACTTGAAAATTTTTTTCAAGATTTTTTTAGTCCTTGGAAGACTTTTGGAGACTCGAAAAACATGAAAAATATTGGATGGCTTTCAAATTTTTAAGTAGACTTCAAAAGTTTCCCGTAAGCTTTTAGGGACTCTCGAGGACTTGGAGTTGCACTTGAAAAGACTTTTTCAGCCCTTATAAGACTTGAATGGACTTTAGAGAGACTTCCAAAAGACTTTTGCAAGCAGCCCCTCCTATACTGATCGCGATGAATAAAAAACGAGTGGGATTGAAAAAAAAAAAAAAAAAAAAAAATGCAGATCTCATCGGGCCGATTGGAGCCGACTGGCCCCGCTGGCTACCCCGGAAACGATGTCCGAGTCGTCCAACAGCGCACCCCCGTCGCCCCTGCCAAGCTGCCAGCGGCCAATGATGCGCCGCACCCCAAAGATCAGCGGCAATCTCTCGACTGCGGCGGACGATCTCAAGAACAACATTCACTTTGCGATGCTCTCGGCCAAGAATTACTACTCGAGACAGGAGCGACACGTGAATAGCAGCGCGAGCAGTGCCAGCAGCGGCTGCGCCATCAACTCCGAGGCTTCCTGTAGCTTCGAGAGCACCAAGAGCATGGCTAGTCAGCAACAGGTGGCCCTGCCACCAGTGCCCCGCAGAGGGGACTCTGTGCTCGTCAACAGGTCAGACCAACCGAGGATTTTTTTTTTTTTTTTTTTTTTTTTACCCTTGTCTAATGTGGTTGAAAAAGGGTATTCGGCTTTTGGGAGGATAAATGCAGTGCTTCAACCGAATCAATTCCCTCGATTTTTAACTATAGATTTTTTAAAAAATTTTCGCTTGGCTAATACAAATTACTGTCCAACTGGTTTTGTTCTTCGTTATCTACACTTCTTTTTCAATAACTCATAAATATTTGCCTATTTTACAGTTTGATTAGCAAGTGTGTACTATACTTATACAAAAGTAAGAAATTCCGCTTACATCGTTTCTCTCATTTTTTTCATTTTAGTAAACGAACGTACTATATCTTACCTATATAAGTTTTGTTTTGTTATACATCATTAAATTTTAAAAAATTAACTTTTATGTAAATCAACAACAAAAATTAAACCATTTTCTTACGTATAAGTGTATACGTTGTATATTGAAGACATTATAAAACTACGATTATATTTGACGGATGATTTTATTTCGTATCAACTTGGACCAAATTAATTTTTTTGTTAAAATAATACGCATAAAAAAAATAAAAATCAAATGCTGTCACTCTGTATCATTTGAATATTACATTGCAACAATTTCATGCATTTGACTTTTTGAAAATCCCGCCCCACAAACCATGTGATGAATGTTAACCAATCACGCAACGAATAAAAATACTTCAGTCCCTTGGCAATCAACCTTTAGAATACAACGCGAAAGCAAAAAAATAGTACGATCGTTTATTTAATTACACACGACAGAAGTAAGAAAAAAATATGAACTTGGTGTACAAAGAGGAACATGATTTTTCATACCACGATAAAACCGAGATATCATTGTTAACTATTAAAATTAGGTGGGGAGGACAGTGAAAAATTCAAAATACCATTCCCCATGCAACCGCAAAAATAAAATAAAACGTATAATCTTGAAACTCGCGGTAACGATGGTGATAATAAAAATGTCTTTCGTCCTTCGATCTGCAGAGAGCACAGTAAGCCGTGCACGTCGAGCTGCTGCAGGGACGACTTGTCGGACAACAACTCGTCGCCCAACACCTCCTCGGGGATACCGCGCCGCGTGCAGATCGACTTCCCAGAAGAGGACAACGGCTCGAGTCTCGATTTCTACGAGACCAAGGTATATACTTTTCATACCGCGCACCCCTTGCCAAAAAAAAAAAAAAAAAGGAGAAAATCGATTTTACTGTGAACAGCAAACCTCGGCGGAGGCAACAAAGGACAGCAGCAACGAGGTGTTTCTCAGCGTGCGAAGCTCCCCGGAGTGCAAGGGCCTCATGCACCCGGCGACCGATTTGGGAGCCGAGTGGCGTCGTAACAGCGGCAAAATCGGCGAGGCCGCGCCCGATCTCTCCCTACCCCTCCTCCGTGGACTGTCTCCCACGCCCCAGACGGCGGCCAACCAGCATCACGCCAACTCGCCCTTCTTCAATGCCAAGCGCAAAAAATACGTCTACCCGATTACTTTGGTCAGTCGGGGCGAGAGCAGCGTTTAGACTTTCGTTGGCACGCGGGAGCTACCGGTCTTTTGGCCTGAAAATCCGGGCAAACTAGTGGCAATTACGAGATTATCGAGTTTTCTCGAGAAAATTCGTACCCATGGTTTTTTTTTCTTTTCTTTTCTTTTCTTTTTTTTACGAATTATCATTTCACTGTTGAAAAATCTTTGTGTTCTATACCGTTACTGCATTTCATTGTGGCAATGATCAAGGATGTAAGCCTTGGCACACGCCAAATCGCTAATTTACGTTATTGATACCAATATTTTTTCTACAAAAAGCTTGTCGATCGAAAAATGTTGGAAAACTATACTGTTCGATCCGTACGAAATTTTGCTAAAATCACTAATTTCCAAAGTATCTTTCTTAAGTGCGTAAAAACACGATAATCAATTTACCCTAAAGTTTTATCAAATCAGAGTATTCAAAACTAATTTATTTTGTAACAAAAATCATCGAGTTTTATTTGTATTAAACATAACTTAAAATTTGTGTATGATCGATGTAAAAAAAATACTGTTTACGTTTTTCGGTCCCAAGATTGAAACAACGCCGATTGTGTTTGTATAACGACAACAAAATACTTAATTTTCATATTTTTCAAAGCAAAGACAAGATTTTTTATTAATATCGTAACGTCGTATTTTGTGCCAGTCCTTTATTTTTAATATTAACTATATTAATGAGAACATCAATAATAGCGCTATGATGATGAACCAAGAGTGATACCGTCATAAATGATAATGTGTTTCGCGTCGAGCTGTGATTTTATCAACTATACAACTAACTAATACACCTATTTTAGCTTTTTTGTTTTACTATTTTTATGTCTTTTTTATTTATTTACTTTTTTTTTTTTTTTTATTAATACTTGTGAAAAGGGAGTGTGTGCATGTACTATGTACTTGGTGAGAAACGAATTTCGAAACAACTAATTTTTTATGTATGTACATACGTTTATTCTCTTAAAGTCAAAGTGATTATACTATCTGACAAGCGTAAATTATGCGAAAAAAACTTTGCGTCAATTATTATGGTACGTCAAGTTTTTCAAACAATTAGTAGGTGATTCCACGATACTAGTCATTATACATGCATCCTCATCGAACATAAATTTTTTGATGATATCGAGCATGAATAGATAATTTAGAACGAAAGTTTTTAAAAATATCAAAGTAGAGAGTATGACGTCGTGCCAATTCAGCATAAGTATTTGTTATTACGAAATTGTCATTTTAATATAGAAAATCATATGTGACTTTGAGATAGTTTATAATACAGCGTACATACGCTACTATTTGGAACAAAAAATATTTCTTTACCCTCATTTCGTTTACTATTATTTTTAATGAAAAAAAAAGTGTTCATTGAAAACAATTTGTTATATACTCTAAAAATTATTTTTTCCAAATATTTTTTTGAGATTATTGAAAAAATATTAATTTCATGGAATAAAATATTTTTCCAATAAACTTAAAATTTTCCAATTGAAGAAATACTGAACTGAATGAGGCCTAAAGAAATAATTATTTGTTGCAAAAATATCTTGTGCTCAGTATATGAACAGTAGTGACTTAGTATTATTATTTTTAATTACAACTTTAGGAATTATAGTTCAACAAATTGCGTGTGTATCATGAAAAAGTATGAATAATGACACCAATATGTAAATATAACTAATTATATAAGGAAATATTTAATTTTTAAAAACTTATTGAGGATAATCTTAAAATGTTGTGAATGTATTTCAGTAAATATTTAATTTCATTCAGCAATGATGGAAATATGCAGTTTTACAAAAAATTACTTTTCTACACACATTAAAAATTCCAAACTGTAACATATATTTAGGCCATTCATTCAAACATAATTATATTTTTATAAAATTTTATATTGCCATTATGATGATAAAATAAACATTCCTATTCCATAACAAAGTGTCGAAAAAAGATGTATAGTCATTATAATACACTTTTTGTTTTCCGTCAAATGATAGTTTTGTTTTAATAATTGTTTTACCAATAACGGGACCATTAGAGTGCAAATATTTGTTTTTAAACTAATAAAAAAAAAGTCATCGTAGATTTTATTCAAGACATACTATACATAGTACTCAAGTTTTATCTGGTTCATGCAATATCTCGTCAATTGAAGTGTAACTGAAAAAATATACATTACGAATTTTATTGGGCAAATCATTTGATCTTGCCAAGTCGATTGATTCAATGATTCGAAGCGATTTAGAAATGAAAAAAGGACGTAGACATCATACAATCTGGATTTTTCAAAATTTTTTTTCTCTAGAATTTTTAACTTAAGGTTGAAATAATGGTCTTTTCGCGGGTGTGTCCATTCTGAATTTTTCGATGTGAAGCATCGAAGGAAAACTATAGATTTTTAATAAAAACAACTACTTACTGTAGGAAAGTATAACGAGCGAGATATCGATATTCTAGTGATATTTTAAATAGAACTTCTTGGTAATTAACGAAAAAAAAAAAAAAAAAAAAAAAAAAAAATTCCAGTTCGATCTGTCACGAATGTGTTTTTATCTGATCGTAGTGAATAAGCGTCACACCAAAGGCAACAATGTACTTATGTAAAAAAAAAAAAAAGAAAAAAAAAAGGATGCGTGGTAAACTACAAGTTTATTAGTCTGATGTAGAAAAGTTAGGTAAAGTGAAAAAATTTGAGGGCGTAGGAAAAGTCTAATTTAGTGCGTTATATTTGTAGAAAGAACACTAGTAGAAAGAGTAATTATGTATAAAAATTATGTCCAACAGAAAAATCGATAATTTTTAAGGAATAAAACTTCTGAAAACATCGATGCATTTTTTTTTTACAATCTTAGTCATGAATACCCCAGTAAATTTTTGTGCCTTCATGCAACTACTTGTGCTGTCCGTTTGAAAAAATTGAGAAAACTCCGGGGGTAGAGCGATTTTTCATAAATTTCCTTGACTTTCCTGTCCTGACCGTTACAACTTTTCAGTTAGAATCACTAACGTAAAAAAATCTGCCTAATTTAATAAAAAAATAAAATAAAAAAAAT